GTTTTCCTTAAATGCAACTTCTTTTTGTGTATCATCTAAAATTGTGTCTTATCGCTCACATAGATTGGTATCTATTTTGCAATTTACTGATGGTTAAAAATTAAATTTTCCGGTAATTGTATGATTCTATTCTTTTTTGTTTATGTTGCGATTAATTCTAGTTATTTATTTTTGCATCTGTGGTTTCTATTTTTAGTAACTATTTTGAAACTACTGATTATCTTCTCTTGTCCATTAAGTAACTAATTTATTATTTATATTTTGTTAATAAATTTTTTTTACTTTATTCAATTTATTGTGACGAAATAGAATTTACTTTGAAACATTGACATATAAGCGTTGAAAATCAAGGCGGTAATAAATTTTTATATTTTTTAAATGTTTTAATTAACTATAGTATTTTGTTAGCATAGTTTTATTAAGTTTAAAAAAGATTATTTTGGACTGAGGTTCTACTATGGAAATATAGAAATATTGCGTGAACAGTATGTCGTCAATCTTACTACTACCTCCATCTCATAAAATATAGTTGAAGGTCAACTTTTTATCTTCTACTTTTAAAATTTGAATCCCTCTAACACCCTTCTGGTATTTTCTTAATTTCCTCAATTCAAATTACTCTGTCCTTTTCATACACTGTCCTTACAGTTTTCAATACCCCTTCCCATTTCCAATTTACCCATTCTTCCCCCACCACTCATAATGATAAATCCCAAATCTAAATCGCTGTTGGGTTAGCCCCCTTCCTTCCCAATCCCAATTGGCCCACAATCCTTACCCCCAACTCATTTTCCCCCATGGCAATCTTTAAATCACAATTGCCCATCCAAACTTCGAATTGACCCCTCTCTAAATTTGCCCATTCTTCCTCCCACTGATTTTCCACCATGCACATTATCCAAATCACAATGGCCATGCGCATTACGAATTGGCCCCTCTCTAAACTTGCCCATTTTTGCCCTTACTCATCTTCCCCCATGGTATTCTCCAAATCAAGCTTGTCTGTTTTCTCGTTTTTTTTCTATTATTTTTATTTTTGAACTGTATTCGACTTAAGTTTTCTGAACATGTTTTCTTTTATCAATAAAATTTTTGTTTCTTCTTGTATAATTTACAACTACGTTCTGTTGCTTGCATAGATAGGTTTTCAGTTTGCAATTTACTGATGTTTGAAAAACAAATTTTCTCGTTATTGTATGATTGTAATCTATTTCTATTTATGTTGCTATGAATTTTTTCTTATAAATTTTGCATTTGTTTTTTCTATTTTTAGTAATTATTTTTAAACTAAAATTATTTTCTCTTGTACATGAAGTAGCTACTATGTAATTTTTAATTTAAAATTATTTATTTAGGATTTATTGAATTTTTTGCCTTAATATAGAGTTTATTTGAAAACATTGACATATAAGCGTTGAAAATCAATTCAATAAAAAAAATTCTTTATTAATGTTTTCAATGTTTTAATTGACTATATTAATTTTTTAGCATAGTTTTTTCAAGTTTAAAAAAAAATGTTTTTGAATCAGGTTGTATGATAAAAACATAGAAATATTGCGTGAACAGTATGTCGTCAAGTTTACTACTATTTAAGTCTTCTAAAATATGAATCAAGTTCAACTTGAAATCTTCTACTTTTGGAACTTAATCACCTCGAACACCTTTCTCGTATTTTCTTAATTTCCTCAATTCAAACCACCCTGTCCTTTTCAGACACTGCCCTTACAGTTTCCAACGCCCCTTTTCATTTCCAATTTACCCATCCTTCCCCACCAACAATAATGGCAATTTCAAAATCACAATCTGCCTCTGGGTTGGCCCCCTTTCTTCCCAATTGCAATTGGCCCCAATCCTTCTCCAACTCATTTTCCCCCATGGCAATTTCAAAATCACAATTGCCCATCCACATTTCGAATTGACCCCTCTCCAATCTGGCCCCAATCCTTCCTCCCCTCCCACTCATTTTCCCCCATGGCAATTTTCAAATCACAATTGCCCATCCACATTTCGAGTCGCCCCATTTCCAATTTGGCCCCAATCCTTACCCCCACTCATTTTCCCCCATGGCAATTTCAAAATCACAATTGACCCCCATCCCTCTTCTACTTCCGATTTGCCCCTTTTTTCCCCCATCCCCACACTCCAAGACAATTTTTTAACCAAAGTTGCACTACCATCCTTTACCCGAAATCGACCAGTCCATTCCCCCATACATACTCTCTCATCAAATGACAATTTACCAGATGCAATTCTTTGCTTTTTTCAGTTCGTTTACTATTTTTTTGAACCTTCTACTTGATCCTTTTTAATGTGTCTATTTTTTTTGAATAAAAAACCTTTTTTTATACATTCTACGACTATGTCCTCTTTTTTTATAGGTTAGTTCTCACTTTTGATGTTATTAATTTTTAAAAAAATAATCCTTTCGTTTATGGCGTGTCTGTAGTATAGCGTGTCAAGGCAGCTTTAAAATTTTACTTATTATCATTATTTTTATTGTCTGTCTTTTTAGTAAATATTTTGAAACTAAACTAAAAATTACTTTCTTTTGTCAATCAAAAGAATACTGTATAAATATACTCTCTTTCAAATTAATTACTTTTTTGTTTTGTTGAGTTTTATGTGTTTATATAATATTTACTTTGAACACTTAATTGTAACAGTTAAAAATTAAGTCAATGATCAAATTTTTTAATAATGTTTTCAATGTTTCAATCAACTATATTAAATTGTCATTATATTTTCTTTAGAAATTTAATAATAAGATTATTTTAGAGTAAAAATGTATTATGAAAGCATGGAAACAGTATGTAAACAGCATGTAATTGAACTTTCTACTACTTCTATCTCATAAAATATAACTAAAGTTCAAAGTCCAATCTTTTTGCTTTTCGAATTGGAATTTTTCAAACACCCTTCCTGTATGGATGGATCCCAACAAGATTTTCAATTCACACTCAGTCCTCTTTGCACACTGTCCTCAATTTCAAATGCCCCCATTTCTAATTTACCCATTCTACCCCGCATCCATAATGGCAATTTTCAAATCAACACAATCGCCTTTGGGTTGGCCCCTCTTCACAATTTCCTCACACCCTTTTCCCCACCCATTTTACCCCATCGCAATTTCCCCACTCTTTCCCATTTCCAATTACCCATTCTTCCCCACACCGCCAAAATGGCAATTTTAAAATCACGATCACCTTTGTGGTTGGCCCAAATTGGCCCCCTTTCCCCACCCATTTTCCCCCTTCGCAATTTCCCCACTCTCTCCCATTCCCAATTTACCCATTCTTTCCCACCCCACACCCAGAATGGCAATTTTCAAATCAAAATTGCGCGAGCCCATTCCCAATCGGCCACTCTTTCCAAATTGCCCATCTTTCCCATTAGCAGAAAAAATCACTAAAAAGTGTGTATTGTATACTGGTGCTCAACATATTATGCAGAATCAGACCCAATAGCAAAATCAAAATTCTCGTCTAACAGAAAAGAATATCAATATGATCCATTATTTAGTTATTTGTAAGAAGAATGCACTTGAGTGAGTTGTGGTCAACGATCTGTTTACTATTAAAAGCAATTTACAACTATCAGGGAAAGAATGTAGGAATTTTCTCTCATTATGATTCTTGCCAAGCAAACTATCAACTAGGTTATCCTTTATGCGTTAAGATAAATGACTACTAGTACTAGTTGATGTTTTGTTTGTCAAACCTACTTGGGTAAATTCTTCTAATAAATCCATATGACCATTGTGCATTTGCTATTAGAGAGACTATCGACGATCTATAAATACTATATGAAACAAAGTCTAGGATATGAATAACTCCACTTACATATAGGATATTTTTCGTGTGCTAGTATAAAACAACTTGATGGAAAGAAAAGACTTATGAAAAATGGACAGACAATATACGGTAGTTCAAACAACCCATGTCATTCTAGTAACACTATTCAAGCCATATTCAACTTGAGAATGCACAATGAACTTACTCCTATTTATGTCTCTTGCCTTGTATAAGTCTTCTTCAATAGTTAAAACTTGTCTTTGATTCACAAATCAGCAACTTGTCTAAAGTGCATTCTTACATCGGCATGATGTGAAAGTCTGCAAGAGTAAGATCGTTCTTCCAACTTCTTATCAATCTGAGGTTCCATACTACAAAACAAGTTATCGGTTCGTTTCTCAATCATCATAAAAAATACTCTTTTGTCTTCCTATTTGCTGAAAAAAAAAAGTAATGAGTTAACGAATTGATAGCATATTACAATTCTTTAGTCTTGTGTCTGTCAATCTACATATACTGTACTTTTTTATATGAATTGTTCGTGCTTCTTGAAATAACTAGCTTCACACCATCAAAGTCATTTCTTTTGGTATCTGGAACAATCTCTTCCCAGTGCAAGTTGACCAGGTTTTGTTCGTTCGTTCGTAGAGCTGTTTCCATCTGACCTTGCTGTCGAAGAAAATTGATAAACTTGAGTGTAGACACTTTGTAAATGTTTTCTTTTTCTTCTCAGTATGGACTGTCAAGTCTACTGCTTTCTCCTTTTCTTTATACCTTGGTTTCCTTGGATAGTTTCAAAGAGCTACAAAGTAAACCTGCTCTCTCTCTCTCTCTCTCCTTTTTGGTTACATGGTACTTGATTGCTTTAATATATATACATATATATATATATATATGTATGTATGCATGTTTAGAGCGATATAGTCTCAACACCTTTTTTTGAGTTTAAAAGAAACAAAAATTGAGTCAAAGATGATAGATAGGATGTATATCTAATAGCTTTGCAATTGTTGAAAACACTCTGAATATTTTCGAGTCAAACAGAAAGGTAGTCGGAACAACGAATTTTGGAGTCTCTATGGAAAAAAAAGACAATGAAATTTGATAAACAATTGGCAATGTTGGAATTCGTGAAATGTATGGACCAGTCCATTCCCAAACGAATAAGAATATGCGAGTAGTAAATAGAAAGCTTTATGAATAAATGGATGGGATGTAACTTTATGTAGTTTTCATTTGTGAAAGGCCTACTGAAAGATATTTATTGGAATCCTTTTATCCGGAATGAGGTAAAGTAAGATCATTGGCTACTTTGAACGAAACAATTATTATGGTGCTTCTTATCCTATTGCCAATTATCAAAGGACTGCTAGTCAGTTGAGAAAAGTCCATATCAAATATGCAATACCTCAAAATGACTACTGTTCGACAATCAAGCCCTTTCCAAATTTTGTAAGGTTTTCTTATTTCTTTCACGGAAACAAAAAACGATTTTACCTTTTGGATTCCAAAGTTTAAACTATTTCGCAGTTGTACGAGACTGAAATTTACAATGGACACAAAGTTATGAAACAGTATCAGAGGATCTCCTAGGACATGAAAAAGTATACGTTGACTTTGTCAACGTTCATAAAATCGTTTTCTTTGTTAAGGCATACAAATAAGTGTTTTCAAGTAGGTATTTCAAACATATTTTAACAGGAAACAATTGTGCTCAAATTCGAATTTCCGAGACAAAACAGAGGCATCATTTATCGAAGGAAATTTGCAAAAAAAATGACACCTAGTGTTTCTCTGTTCATAAAGGTGTAGAACCATACATAAAATGGTGCGAAAATAGAAAAATAACACTTGAGCTTGTTTTTGAAAACTCCATACAATAAAACTAATCGTTCAATAAATGAAAGTTTTATCTATATCCATCTCATGGATCATTTCAACCGTCTCTCTCGATATCTTGTTACATTTGAAATAGCTTCCTTGAAGAAAAGTCTTGTAAAAAGTGGAACAAAGAGTGCGACACCAACTTTGACTCGAATGACGTCGTGCATATTTTTTTTTACCTTTTCCATTTTCCCATAAATATATAGTTTTATACTTTTTGTTTCACTCGCTCATTTTTGCACAGAGTTTTCTCGTCTTGTAAAAGTCAAAACGCTTCATCTCCTTGTAAAAGTCAAGTCATATTCCCAGGTTCCATTTCTTCCATAGTCTTGAGCCTATAATCCAACACTATCGTTTCTATATAGCCCTTTTTCCTATCCATTTCATATTCGAGCGACAAAATTGAGCTTTGTAAATACAACAAACGCTGGAGCAGGCTTGTATATTCTTCTCTCAACGAAGCAAACACAGACGTTCTTTTCTAGTTTTTCTTTTGAACTTTTCAAAAAGTTTCCTATAGACCTCTGGTGGTGAGATCCCTTCCAACGGCGATATCTTTCAGCAATCCAACGTCTATTGATGTGGATAGTACGTTAAACCAGATAGTAGTAAACAATAAATAGAACCAGAATATGCAGCAAATTTTTCCATTTATTGTTTGACAGAAACTATTGGAGATAGTTTTCAACAATTTCAATGGCACTCTCGCTTGTGTTTTCAAGTCTATGATGTCAGTAACTGTAAATCGATTGGAAGAAATGTTGAACAATTCCTGGAAATTTTTCTGGGTCTCACCTGTAATGTATTTACTTTATCTTCTTCGATTGACTCCGACATACGTATTCGTTTAACGTGTATACCTCTTCATAAAACTCAAACAGCATTGCTACGGCATGAAGAGGATCTTTTTTTAACCATTCCTTGACTTTTAAAAGGCAAAGTAGTACCTAATAGAACCTACATTCCAAGACTTGTGCAGATGCAACAGAGTCGCTCTAAAACTAGTCGATAGGGTCTTGGACAGATTGTTCAAAGCACGTCGAGACACATTCATAAAGTGTGAAAAGTCAAATGGTAGAAATAAATAAATGTGACGACACAGAATAAACAGATGGGCTTGGAGAAAGAGTCGTCGAGGAGGAGTCTTGTCATTTGAAAGAGTAGGTTTCTTGGTGATCCATCAATGTTTCTTGTACAACGTCCAACCTGGCTTGCGTCTCTTCTTGAAAAGCTGGGACAATAGCTAAAACATTAGGTTGGGTATTATACAATGAATAAGTCTCCTTGATTACTGCTAGACCTTTGAGAATAATCT